AATATGCATGTTCCTATTTGTTGTAATACAACTTTTTATCAAAAAATGGCGGAAAATGCGGTTTTTGAAAGTTTGACCTTTGACCTTGTAATGTCATATCTCAGTAACTACTGGTCATAGAGACTCGCCATTGATTGCAACTTGTTCAGAAGATTCATGTTTATATTCGTCCTAATGAAAAAAATATTCAAATAGTGACCGGAAACGGTACATTCTGACCTTTGACCTATTGTAGGGTCATTCCATGTCAAATCAACCAGATTAAAAAGAAATTCCTGTATGACCGTCTCAGATTTTGATGAAACTTCATAAAAATGATCCACTGTATGAAAAACCCAAAAAAAAAAAAAAAATTAGCCTCATAGGATATGTAGTTTTCGAGATATTGATTGGTTCTTCAAGATGTGCAAACGCAATTTACTTCAACTTTGGAAGCTTATAACAGGACATTGGTAATAGCTATCAGGGTCAAACTTGGTATTCTAACATATTTTCCGCCACATTTCACAAATATGGCCTTAGGTTAACAGTTATCCCTTCCCTTTTGAAGTTATCTGCACTCAAAGTAGCCGCTTTGTTTAACAATGCAATTTTTTTGTGATTTTCGAGGTCACCCTGCGTCTATTTGAGTGGGTATATACACCTCATATTACAGAAATATTATCTATGTGTAGTTGTCTCTAGCCACAGGCAAGCGCAGGCTGATCAAATCAATTAAAATTGAATGGCATATATTCAAAGTTGGGACCAGATCTATAAAAGTGAAAAACGCCAATGTTTCTCAACAACGGATCGTCTTGTGGAAAGTTAAAATCTTTGAACCCACGACCTCCAGGTATCTAGCCTGATGTCTTAACCCTGTCTCTTATACACATCTAGATGTGTATAAGAGCTAGATACTATGTTGAAAACTACACATATTTCAACATAATAGGAAATCACAAACAATTTTAAGAGTTGGGTCATTCCATGCCAAACACACAAATGCATTACACCATGACTATGGGTCATAGATTTTTAAAAAAATTTTTTGCCACACTGACTCAGTGATATAGATATATATGTGAACTGAAAACCTGAAATTGTTAGACTCTCCAATTCGTTCACTTTCCTGTAGCGGTAGTTTGAAGTTAAGGGGGCGTGGCCCAAATAAATATG